ACAACAAACAAACAAACAAACAAATTGTAATAATGACCACAACTACACTTAGGATCAGTAACAACAAAACGGCCAAACTTGTGTCCAACTAGGTCACTACAATTGAGTCTCTTTCTACAGTGGATGATTTGATTTTTTCTAGTACCATAACATTGATATAAAGGGTTACATTGCTGATAAAAAAAATAGTTTAGCCGTATGTATACATGTGTACTTCGGAAGCCTTTTAGGGCCATTTGTTTTTTTAATTCTTTTCGACACTATCCTGAAATGTCAAGATACTTAGTTGAAATTTCAAGATACTATCTTGAAATTTAAAGATATTAAGTTGAAATTTCAAGATACTGAGTTGAAATTTCAAGATAATAAGTTAACATCCTAAGATGTATAAATATGTTTGAAGTGAATAATCTTGAAATTTCAAGATCCTATGGACGCCTTTAAGGGCCATTTGTTTTCTAATTTTTTTCGATACTATCTTGAAATTTCAAGATAATAAGTTGATTGTATCTTGAAATTTCAACTTCTATATCTTGAAATTTCAACTTAGTATCTTGAAATTTTAAGATAGTTTCTTGAAATTTCAACTTAGTATCTTGCAAGTTCAACTTAGTAACTTAGTATCTTGAAATTTCAAGATAGTATCGAAAAATAATGAAAAAAACAAATGGCCCTAAAAGGCTTCCGTAGTGTACTTAATTATGTCAGAAGTCCATGATTTGGTAGGGTAAAGGTTAATTCACGGGCCTGGTGAGGAGGTTATCGGGATGTGTTTTATGATAATCTATTGACACAAGCTGATGTTCATGGGAGATGTACACTGTACCGTACAATCATATGGCAAAAAAAGATGTTGGGAAACAGACTGGTTCATAATTTGTAAGGATAAGATTTATGGATGAACAACTTCTTTATTACAATAAGGAGCGACGTTTCGGTGTAGGTTCTAAAAACACAGCAAAAAGAGTGTAAGTTTCCGTTATCCGGATCCGCATTTTGCATTTTGTTCACTTAAGTGTGAAACACATAAAAAATTATCTGAAAATTACCAAGAAATTTGAAGGTTGCTGAAGGTATCTGGAAGGTTTCCGGATAACGGAAACCTACACTTTTGTTGCTGTGCAAGTTAGTGATGCACCACACGCTCTCATCACATTCATCAGTCTGCCCGTAAGGGTGTTAGAACCTACACTGAAACGTCGCTCCTAATTGTAATAAAGAAGTTGTTCATCCATAAAACCTATCCTTACTTAGTACTCCAACTTCTAATTGCCTCTCAAAGAAGTGGTTCATAATTTTTTTTCACTTAAAATTGGAAAAAAAGAACATTTTCACTCATTCAGCCATCCATAATGTCGACAGTCCAAAACGTACAAATGTTACAAGTTGTAACATATAACGCTTAAATTGTATCCAAGACGATTAGTCAAATGACGTCTCTATTCGAGGACTTATCTAAAGCGTCCGATTCCGTTAATATAATTAAACACTGGAAGCTGTGAAGGTAATATCTACTAATTTTATCACAGGTAAAAGTCATGGAAGAGATATCGTTGTCTGTAAACTGCCAGTATATACTAGTACAATGTTTTTACACGTGATGTCAACAAAAACATTTGTAGGAAAACTTACTTGAAGATTAGTAGCTAAAAAAACCTGGTGTATATACAGTGTGTTGCATAACGCCACAATCGGCAATATCTCGCCTATACAAGGACTGTAAATAATCGCGTCTAGACCAGACAGTCCAGTGACTGGCATCATAAGCATGCATCAGCAATCTGAGAACCGATCTCACGTGTCGCCTCTTACTTCAAGAAGGGTTGCTGAAGAAAATTTCTAACCCGGATCTTCACGGGGGCACAGAGGGACATTCATTATCTGAGACTGATATTATGAGCAACCATTTACTTTGTCGGGGTAGGACGAGACGGCATGTAAATAATTAAGTCTGGATAAGACAATCCAGTAATTGATATTATGAGCAACGGTCCAATCGGTCGGGGTACGATGACATACAATCAACCAAGTCTGACCGCTGATTCATTAAGTCTCCTTTTGTGACACACAAAGCTGGTTGGGACCTATTCGACCCCGAAATTCCAACGGATACGACGAAGCCGTTGCTAGTTATGCTGCAATCGACACTGGTTTACAGACACGCTAGCCAGACTGCTTCGAATGAATGTGACAATGGTGCCAATCTCATCTGACACGTGAGCGGGATTTCCTTCACTGGAGGCTGCTTCTCCGATGGACATTGACAACGAGTCCAAACAGTGTACAAAGAATTAGACTGAAATTGACAAGCACGTAACGACGATGTGGATTAACGCGACACGAGAAGTGTAACAGGCCATGACATACTGGCATCAGCGTCGGAATCGGCTAGACCTGTTCTAGCAGAACGTGCCTCTTTGGAACAATAACAACAACCAATCGATACCGCTCATCAGCGGGATACAGCCGCTCCAGGCTCCAAAGGATTCATGATGAATTATGAAACAATCGTTAACTTACCGTATCATATGTCACAAAGTCTACATCGGGCCTGGTCTCCGTGAACAACCTCTGTCCACAAACGCCTTTCAAGAATGACCACAAATCTCCCAAATCCCGACTTCCCTGGAAGTGAGATCGTTGCTAGGCAACGCATGGAAAGCTCGGTAAGAGAGCGAGGCAGCGTCGCGCTGTGTGCTCTTCAGTGAGTCGGTGCATACGAATAAGGTCAATAAAACCGTATTATTCGTTTCTCGTTCGATTTGATGGGCTGTAGGATACAGTGATTGTGGACGTGATGGCAGGTGTGTCTCTAAAGTGATTTATCGCGCCGTTACTTGTCGTGATTCGAAGGGCCGTTATCGATTTATCGGATTCAATCATGAGGACGATGTAGACACGGTTTTAGACAAGGCGAACATGGCATTACACGCTCCAATGACTCAAAGAGGGTTCTACATGAGCTTCCTGTGTGTACGGTGTGTACGGACCGATGTGCGTGTCAGACGAAACAGATTTTATAATTGTTCACCGATGAGGAATTCAATTATTAACCACATAGCCTTTTCTGTGAGGGAAACTTAAAGAGAGTGGATTATTGTTTGTTGTTTATTTGCGTTGTTTGATTTTGGTTTTTTCTTTGTACTATTTTACCCTACGTGGTCAGGTGAATTAGAGACCATATACCGATATATGCTGTGAGTGTATAGGACCCGTGAAGATTCCGGGGTAGTATAGGTCTTCAGCAACCTATGCTTGCCGTAAAAGGTGACTGTGCTTGTCGTAAAAGGCGACTAACGGGATCAGGTGGTCAGGCTCGCTGACTTGGTTGATGCATGTCATCGATCCCAATTGCGTGGATCGATGCTCATGATATTAATCACTGGATTGTCTGGCCCAGATTCGATTATTTTCAGACCGCCGTCATACAGCTGGAATATTGCTGAGTGCGGCGTTAAACAACAAACAAACAAACACATCTGAGTGTATAGAGCTTCTGCAAGGAGAGCAGAACGTCGATGGTTCGAGGCCCTGGCCGCGTTAAAGGATGGTAATTGTTGTTACCCTGCCTGGTGCTCGGCATAAAGGGGATACAACTAGGACCGGTGGGCTAGGAGTCAGTGTGCTGTGTCTGAGTTCTACCTTATTTCGCAGGCTATGCCATTCGTAGGGTGCAGATTCCAATGGATACAAGTCATGACTTCTGACCCGCCTGTTCATAATTCCAGCTGCACGAGGCGTGGTTAAATGAGGACGCATGGTCCATTACAAACACGTGTACTTTTATGGATTTTTACTTATTTAAAAGATAAGTAAAAAATAAAGTTCCTTCTCAGTAATGAAACCAGTCACGAGAAACGTGTATATGTTTAACTGGCCTCACGTTGTGCAACAGCTGAACAATTAAAAATGCCAGAACTATCGTCAACACAGAAACATTGTGCAGACAACCCAGGAGGCAACAGCGCCCGATATCACACAAATACTTGCAAGGGTCTCTCAAATTGGCAGATTGTCTAGCAGCATGTTTGCCATAACAGATTGGAAAGGTTTTTATGGGGCCAATAGTGTTATATCCTCCATCAAAGGATTTTCTCAAACACGGTGTGGCGTTTTGTGAAACGGAACACAAACTCAAGTATTATCATTGGAAAGAAGATGCGCGGACAACAAGATCTTGTTTTTAATTCGTGTACGTTTATTTCTTGATTACTCTCAATAACTTGCATAAAAGGTTTATATTTAAATGTTCTGCATTAAGGATTGAAAACATCTAGTTGAACGATTATGTGGGGAAAACTTCATTCAGCCGTACACAGTATCAATCCGCAATTATATAACTCTATCTTCTATGGGGGCGGTCGGGTAGCCTAGTGGTTAAAGCGTTCGCTCGTCACGCCGAAGACCCGGGTTCGATTCCCGACATGGGTACAATGTGTGAAGCCCATTTCTGGTGTCCCCCGCCGTGATATTGCTGGAATATTGCTTAAAGCGGCGTAAAACCATACTCACTCACTCACTCACTATCTTCTACGTGTACTTGTGGGAACACGCACCAACCACTCGCCAAGCCGACAGCCCATGAACCAGGCGAAAGATATGCAAAGTAATACATCACACAGAATAAAATGTAATTTTGTTTGTTTGTTTGTTTGTTTGTTTGTTTGTTGTGTAACGCCGCACGCAGCGATATTCCAGCTATATGACGGCGGTCTGAAAATTAATCGAGTCTGGACCAGACAATCCTATCATTGACATCATGAGCATCGATCCACGCAATTGGTCAACGATGACATGCACCAACCAAATCAGCGAGCCTGCCCACCCGATCCCGTTAGTTGCCTCTTACGACAAGCACAGTCGCCTTTTATGACAAGCATGGGTTGCTGAAGACCCACTCCACCCCGGGTCTTCACCGGTCTAATAATAATTAATAACAGCGACCACAGTCATTGTAGATGTAGACATCGAGAATTATATATCATTTAACAAATACTCACCTTTGAACATTTGATTCTCTTTGTTACGACACTGGCCGGGTACCGCCTGGAGAAAAACGGGTAAGGCGACAAGCTAGACAGCTGCTACCACTTGCAACATGGCTTCGGAGTGTAGAGGAATAGCACAGTCGTTATTAGCAGTCAGACAATTAAATATTTGGAAACAGTTCTGTGCACAGCCTGTGAATGTCAACCTGGTACGCTTTTAGAAACAAAACAACAAGAGCATGTGTATAAGAGAGTGTCTGGCCGATATAACTATCATCACTCTGATTGGTCTATCGCGTTTCTCTCAAAACGCTTGTGGAAGATGCTTCCCGTAGGCTGAAGAAAGATGCGAGCGGTGACTAACGGTTACATGCGGACCTCGATGACAGCAGACAGCTACATCACCTTCTCTCACAGTACCTCCTGGCATTATCGTCGCTGACTAACATCAGAGGACTTCAAAGTAAGCTCTCTAATTAAATGTAGAATCTATCAATGACGACGACACGACAGCACACATTTAGTATTGATTTCTTTGTACCTTCAAAGTTCAGGAATGTATCTTTTTCTCGGAAAATGATTGCGATAGGTTGTACTTTGTCTAGTTAATCACCTTCCATCATTCTGCAATACCAGTACTAGTCCACACCATCCTGCCGCCCACCAGCTTCGTCAAACCACCTACACACTTCGTCAAACCACCAACACACTCCACACAACCGCCACCCAGCTCCATCGCACCACCAAGCCACTCCATCAAACCACCAACCCACTCTATCAAACAGCAAACCCACTCTATCAAAACACCATCTTACTCCATCAAACCACCAACCAACTCCATCAAACCACCAACCCACTTCATCAAACCACCAACCCACTTCATCAAACCACCAACCCAATTCCATCAAACCACACACGCATTCCATCAAACCACAAACCAACTCCAGCAAACCACCAACCAGCTTCATCAAACTATCCATCGGCTCCATCAAACCACCAACCCACTCCAACAAACTACCAACCCACTTAGTCAAACCACAAACCCACTCTATCAAAACACCATCTCACTCCATCAAACCAACCAACTCCATCAAACCACCAAACCACTTCATCAAAATACAAACACACTCAACAAACCACAAACACACTTTTCATCAAGCAATCCATCCGCTCCACCAAACCACCAACCGACCCCATCGAACCACCCACCCACTTCATCAAAACACCAACCCACTTCATCAAACCACCAACCAACTTCATCAAACCACCAACCCACTCTATCAAACCACCAACTCACTTCATCAAAGCACCAACCCACTTCATCAAACCACCAACCCACTTCATCAAACCACGAAACCACATCATCAAACCACCCATCCGCTCCATCAAACCATCAAGCCACACACACACTCCAGCAAACCACCAAAAAACTTCATCAAGCAACCAACCCACTTCATCAAACTACACACACATTCCATCAAACCACCAACCAACTTCATCAAACTATCCATCCGATCCATCAAACAACCAACACGCTTCATCAAACCACCAACTAACTCCATCAAATCATGAACTCACCTCATTAAACAAACAACCCACTTCAACAAATCACCAAGCCACTTCATCAAACCACCAACAAACTCCATCAAATCATCAACTCACCTCATTAAACAAACAACCCACTCCATCAAACCACCAAGCCACTTCATCAAACCACCAACAAACTCCATCAAACCACCAACACACTTATAAAACAAATTACCCACGTAATCAAATCACAAACCCACTCCATCAAACAACGAACCCACTCTATCAAACCACGAACCCACTCCATCAAACAACCAACACACTCCATTAAACCACCGATCAACTTCATCAAATCACAAACCCACTCCATCAAACCACGAACCCACTCCATCAAAACAACCAACACGCACCATCATACCACCAATCAACTTCATCAAACCACTAACCCGCTTAATCAAACAACCACACACTCAACCCAACTACCAACCCAATTCATCAAACCACCAACCAACACCATCAGACCACCAGCCCACTCTATAAAACCACTAATCAACTTCATCAAACCACCAATTTATCCATTCCGTCAAACCACAAACCCACTCCATCAAACCACCAACACACTCCATCAAACCACCACCTTACTTCATCAAACAACCACCCGCTCCATTAAACCATCAACATGTCCATATTATTACAAAGACATTACTCGCCAAATATTTGGAAGCAGGTTTTTGCAATTGCAGGGATAGAATTGTTTTCTTTTTTAAAATGTTCAGGTGTGTGCCCTTTTGAATTTAACAGTGCCAACACGGAGAATACACTTTCTTCATCTTTAAAATATAATACTTAATAAACAGCTGTAATTTTGAAAATTTCGCCTCTTTGTCATTATGACCAATAATACACGTTACAGTTTCCGAATCCACAGGTATATTTTGTGAATAATGCTTTACATTGTGAAAGTAGTTCTTAGCCCGCTGTAATATCTTGAAAAGGCACTGACATAACAAACTAAATTACCACCCACACAATGGACCTTCTAATATAATCTACTGATTCCTGAAACACATTGCAGATTGTCATGCAGACAACATGGCACCTTTGACATCACATGTATTCGTATGTAAATATAGAACGTCAGAAAATAGCCAATCAGTTCTCCGCCGAAACAGATTCCATTTGGCGTAAGGGTCAAAATAGAAGTGAAAACTTTGGAAATGGAAAACTTAAAATCAGTGATGACACCAGGTCTTCGCAAAAAGTTGGATTTTCTTCGCCAGACCAATCACATAGTGCAAGATATAAGTACACACAAACACTAGCGTCATAAACTAATAAAACGTAATAAACATCAGCGTTTTACTTTCGTTTATCATTTTAATTTCTATGCTAATGGAGACTGGAATTGTCTATTTCGCAAACCTGATATTCAATTCTTTGGAGGCCGAATTTATGTGTGTAATTCCAGAGCCGAGGACCACTGAGACGTGTGTGTCAGTCATGTCTCTGATAGACGGTGTTAACTGGTGCCAATTCCGCTAGAACCAGAATGATAAGACGTAGGGTATGTATGTACTGTACCTGTCGTGAACTTACAACAGATCCGGGATAGAATAGGTCTTCAGAAACCCATGCTTGCCGTAATAGGCGACTATGCTTGTCGTAAGAGGCGACCAACGGGATCGGGTGGTCAGGCTCGCTGACTTGGTTGAACATGTCATCGATCCCAATTGCGTGGATCGATGCTCATGGGGTCAATCACTGGATTGTCTGGTCCAGACTCGATTATTTAAAGACCACCGTCATATAGCTGGAATATTGCTGAGTGTGGCGTTAAACAACAAACCAACCAACCAATCATATCTTCATCAATAGGGTCTATTAGAAACATACTTATCCCCCCTTGATTCGCACGCGCTAAGCGGGAGATATTTAGGCGAAAATAACTTCCGGTGAGTGCATGCGCCAGTCGCTTGCAACAATTGCGTATATTGTCCATGTTGGAATATCACAGACAAGGGAGGTAATTCACGCATTGTTATAGTTTGCAGAAGTTTCTACATACCATCTTGTACTCTTGCATAATAAGCTTGTTTTATAAATAATGTCGTTGAACTAACGTACAGAAATATATATTTATAATGTCAAATGAAACATGTGTGTCAACGTTGCTAAAACTGTCTATCATGTCGTCTCACCATCATGCATAATTGCCATGTGTGTATTATTGATGGAAATGTATATCTAATGTCTTAAACATTTGGTAAATTTTATACGTCCATATATAAACATATATTGGTAACTTTCATGTGAAGAAAGGTATTGTTCCGTACTATTTTGTATATGTTTCAATGTCTTTATATAATAGATGTTAGGTTAGACTTAAATAAACTATCTGTCTGTTTGCTTGCCAAAACTACAGCTTGAAACAACAAAATGGTCCAGCACACAACTGATCCAATGCCACTTCTAATCACTGAATTTTACGTTTAACGTATTTTTGTGGTTTGATGGAGTTGATGGGTGGTTGCGTGGTCGGGGTAGATGGTTGGATCAAGTGGGCTGGTGGTTTAGTGGAGTGGTGGTGGTGGTGGTGGTTTGTTGTTTAACGCCGCACTCAGCAATATTCCAGCTATATGACGGCGGTCTGTAAATAATCGAGTCTGGACCAGACAATCCAGTGATTAATATCATGAGCATCGATCCGCGCAATTGGGATGCCATGCATCAACCAAGTCAGCGAGCCTGACCACCCGATCCCGTTAGTCGCCTTTTACGACAAGCATAGTCACCTTTTACGGCAAGCATGGGTTGCTGAAGACCTATTCTACCCCAGAATCTCCACGGGTCGTTACGTGGAGTGAGTGGATGGTGTATGAGTGGATGGTGGATTGGTCCGTGTTGATGGTTGGATCAAGTGGGCTGGTGGAGAGTGTGGAAGGTTGGTAGGTCTTTGTTGATGGTTGGATCAAGTGGGCTGGTGGTTTAGTGGATGGTGGGTAGGTCCATGTTGATGGTTGGATCAAGTGGGCTGGTGGTTTAGTGGAGTGAGTGGGTGGTTGGTGGGTCCATGTTGAAGGTTGGATCAAGTGGGCTGGTGGTTTAGTGGAGTGGGTGGGTGGATTGTTGGTAGGTCCGTGTTGATGGTTGGATCAAGTGGACTAGTGGTTTAGTGGAGTGGTTGGATGGTGGGTTGGTCCGTGTTGATGGTTGGATCAAGTGGACTAGTGGTTTAGTGGAGTGGGTGGATGGTGGGTAGGTCCGTGTTGATGGTTGGATCAAGTGGACTAGTGGTTAAGTGGAGTGGGTGGATGGTTGGTAGGTCCGTGTTGATGGTTGGATCAAGTGGGCTGGTGGTTTAGTGGAGTGGGTGGATGGTGGGTAGGTCCGTGTTGATGGTTGGATCAAGTGGACTAGTGGTTTAGTGGAGTAGGTGGATGGTGGGTAGGTCTTTGTTGATGGTTGGATCAAGTGGGCTGGTGGTTGAGTGGAGTGGGTGGATGGTGGGTAGGTCCGTGTTGATGGTTGGATTAAGTGGGCTGGTGGTTAAGTGGAGTGGGTGGATGGTAGGTTGGTCCGTGTTGATGGTTGGATCAAGTGGGCTGGTGGTTTAGTGGAATGGGTTGGTGGTTGGTAGGTCCTTGTTGATGGTTGGATCAAGTGGACTGGTGGTTTAGTGGAGTGTGCTGAAGGTTGGTAGGTCTTTGTTGAT